TTCCAACCCCCTGGGAAAAATCACGGCGTGTTTCCAGGGGGTTGGAAAGGAAGAAAGTTGGAGGGAAAGACTGAAAAGACGACGTAAAATAGGAGCCAGCTCGGGGGGACACATTTTGAGGACGATGGGTAGAATACCGTCCGGACCGGGTTTAGAGAGCGCAATGTTTGACGGATTTTCCTAGTGTTGATATGAGGTATCAAAGGGTTGCCAGTGAAGAAGGAAGGTGGCGTAGAAAAATAGGATAAGGTGGAATTGGCGGCAAACTGAGAAGCACAAACCTCGGCTTTCTCCAGTGGTCGGCGTACAAGATCACCAGAGGAATTACAGATAGGGGGAAAGTTGNNNNTTATTTGGTTCTCTGAATGGTGGTCGAGCATTGTTCCTAGCTTGCACGAAGCGGTGGTGGGAGAGGGGGCGAGCGAGCGGCGGAAGGCTGAACGTTGTAGGCGTACAGTACGGTCATGTGCATGGTTAAAACCACTCGGGGGATTAGGGTTTGCCGAGTTTGAAAAAGTGCGAAATAAAGAGATGCATATCTTGAAGAACAGCGTCGGTCTCCTGGCCCAGATCAACAAGCGATGTTTGTTACAGAATTTATCACTCGTCTAACCTGGCTGGAGACCTCGAGATGACCGATGGTTAAAGCAACTAATTGATATGGCTGAGTGTTGCAAACAATGGCATCTCAATTTCTTTATAACCTTAGTCCACTGAAATTATCCATTTTCTCTTCGACTCTACTTTAAAATTTCTTACCTTTTTCCTTCGCTTACGCTACCACGTTGCGGAGCCCTTGGTTCATGCCCCAAACGTGACTCAGAGTGGGCATGAACTGCTGTCAATCAAGTGAGGATGGGCTAAGCGAGTTTGCTGGTTTTGTCGGCCACTAGTCAGGTAAGGGCACAGTGTGCTAAAACTAACGAGAGATCAGAGTCAACATAAGTGGCCCAATAGGACCTGTAGTATTGTACTAAGTCGTGCCGACGGTATTTGCGGTTAATTTGAGCCAGCTTACATGTTGACTTAAAGCACTGCGTTTTCGTCCGTTGCGTGCTGTCGGAAGTTGGTACTGAACAGGAACAGATAGCGGTATACGCAAAACTGAATGAGTCAGGCAACATAGTATCTTCGCTGACAGAAAACAGCATAAGGGCAAGCTTCCGATGCGCTCAGTTTTTCAACCTGCGTATTAAAATTACCTGCCAGCACAACTATATCGGAGCTTCGGGTTAAACGATTGAGTTCGGTCTGTTTATCTAAGAACCTGTTTTTTTGTGCATCAGAACTGCAGTTGGAAGGCGAATGTGCTGAGATGATGAAAAAGCACCTTCTGGTGTTGCTTCCCTTCCGGATGCTGATTGATAACTGGATCCGCATCGCACGGAAATGGCTGCTGACGGGACCACAATAGGTAAATGAAGCTTCAGCTTTATTAATGGGTACGATATCCACGCCTTGCTGACTTACTGAACGGGCTGTCGTCACCTGATGTGCGGAGGAAGAACCTCAATGACGAATCCAGCGCACTTGAATTCGCATGTATGATACGCAACAGATATCGATTCCTAAAGAGTCCACAGAACGCGCCAGGCAAGCCTATTCACCCACGTGCATAAGTTCTGGCGTTGACGGTGCCGACATTCAGAGATTTAGTGAAACTATTTACCGTACTATTTGGACAAGTGGAAAACAAATTACCTGAGGGAGCGTTGCAGGTCGGAAGAATGACGAAAGAGAGAAGGTTGGGCATGGAATAAATAAAAAAATAAACAAAGTTGGGATGACTGGACAGTAACCTACTAATTACTACCAAACCCCGCTCGATGCATTGGGCATCGCGGTCCTGGTTATCCTGTGCGACGACCGATGCATTTGGGGACCTTTTAAACGTTGTTTGTGAATCTGAGTCTGACAGACGGTTATTGCTAAGAAGTTCAACCACTGAGCAGGGATTGTATAGCCGCATCTCAGGTCGGTGGTTAGCTTTGCCAGTTCGACAGGGTTGCCTTATATTCTCCTTCAGCTCTAGCTCATTATTGCACTTGGTGACGACTGAAGGTTGTTTTTGGCGGTATCGCAAAAAGGTCATTCAATAAAAGCGTTAAGTGGATACGCGACCACCGACAGTAAGGCACCCTTTCACAGTAAAAGCCAACATGTGAGATTGACAAAAATGAATACTGAATATTTTGATATTAAAATGCAAAAACGTAAGCATATTGATAATCTTCGAATTTTATTCTGATAAATCATTCCTCGGGGTTACTGAACGAGAACTACGATTAAAAAATCGGGAGTGGGTTTTTACCAGCGAATTTCGGCGTCTAAGGATCCACCTGATGGTGTGTCTGAAGAGTCTATGCTACAAAAGTCCTAATACAACGTCTGATGACAATAGTGTTTTCATCTAGATGTGAGTAAAAGGCTCTAACCAGGTCGACGAGACACTAGCAAATAGCTCACCTATGGGAGTTAATGGACATTTCTCCAAACAACCCATAATGGGACGCATAAACTGGTCCAGGTTTAATGGATATGCGGTAGCTGGCTTGAATAGACCATGGGGTGCGGTGGGATCCTGTGCGTGAAGGTTTACATCCTAATCATCGAACACCCGTCCCAATGGACTGTGGACACGGGACACTGTGTCACTAATTGTTGGGTTAGATTATTTTTGCAAAGTCTTGGGGTGAAATTCTCAAGTCCGCTTTGGGCCACCGAATAGTATGACAGCCCACAACGATGAGGTGACCATGAAAATGAACACTAACTTTAGCTAGTCGACCGATTTGTTCCTCTCATATTCTGTTCGTTATTGTTGATCTCCCTTTTGCTTCAGGTTGGTGATTGAATAGTAATTAGTTAGGTTACTTGACAAGCCAAGCGGTAGTCCATTGGACGGTGTACTTACAGTGTTACTGATGTATGGATTTTTATTATCGATGAGGCAGATGTTGACAAAACCCAGTAAGTTGAAAAGCTTACATATCGCTGTCTGATTTTATAGTCCACGTTACTTTTTGAGTAAAAAAGGTCGTAGAGATTACCTTTGCATAAGTTTGGTGATGAAGCGTCCCGATAGCGTCTAGACCGAGTTTAGGTGGGTCTATTTGCTCCCTAGATCGTTGAATATCGATCAGGTCATATGTATCCCGAGCCGAACCCCAGTGACCGGTTGGAGTTGGACCGATAGGGAGTTCAGATGGATTCTCGTACGGTTCCATGTCCACATCCCAATCGAATGAAGCTGGTTCGTCAAACAGTTCTTCTTTGCGTAGTGGATCCATTTTGCGCCAAGTACGTTCGTCTGTGTGAAAAACCAGTCCAGGACCGCCTTTCTCCCACGGCAGTTCAACCTTGTCTTCGTACTTCAAATTCGCTTTGTCCGAACGAGTAATCTTGTATGGATCATCATGTAACGCCTCAAATCGTTCCCATTCTTCACATGGCTCATCCTCATCTGGCTGAGGCACATCTTCGTCCGGTTCACCGGTCGCCAACTGACTGTCATCCTCACTGGTTCTATCCTGTACGTTCTATGTAAGACAAATAGGAGAAACATCAGAATCGAATGAGTTCATCACAGGAACTATAAGGATAGTAATAAATAATTTATGCAACAAAAGAGGACTATAACTTGGGTAAACTAAGCATAATTTCGATGGAACTGGTACTGCTCAACAGTTATCCCTACTTTGGGATCTCGAAATAACTAAAAACCTTTCACTCACAAAATGTTATTCGATTAGCGTGCGAAGTTGAATGAGAACACATGAAGTCAATGATAACTGAATGAAAGGAAAATGATTTCTCCTGCTAAAGTAATTCACAGAATAGAAAAAAGATCCCACTTGAGAACGCAAAACCATTTTGACGAGTCGACTCGTTCTCATTTCCACCAGAATACCTCTTTTTCTATTATTTTGGCACCAAGCCTGTTCGTAAGCCAATATTTATTCCGTTTTCCATTTTGAGCTTTGAAAGAGCTACATGTGGTTTAAACGTCGACAACATACATCGAGCGACAAATATAGTTCCCGCATCTAAAACCTTTGAACCTAACATACCATCGAGTGGTATTAGACCAAAACTTGACGAGAATAACAGCATACTGGGTAAATTCGTGAATTAGATCCACTAGTGGCCTATGGGGATCGGCGAACGAACTCCTGGAGTATGTGAACGAAAACAGACGACCCCAAGAGAATATTAAAATTGCTAGAAATCGTTTCTAATGAGCTGAAACATGGAAGAAAGTAATGAGTGCTAACGTATTATTGCAGTGTTGACAGAAAGGTATAA